TATTGTGTGTACCTTTTTGGCTCCCAAATACAAATAATTCCTGAAGAGAGGGTTTTTCTGATGGTAACTGAGAATCATGATGGTAGGACTGTTTGTAAATAATGTTTTATAGTATACAGTGTTAAAATGTTTACAGAATTCATATTAAAAGTGTTCCGCAGATGTTTTCTACATGTTTTTTAATAACATATCCAGGGAACTGATTAAACGTTGTGGAAATTAAAGTTTTCTAAATGGCATCAACTATCAACGTCTCTAATATGTCTGTGCTCTCACATATATGATTGAGTGTGAAAATGCAGTTGTTATTAAGATTGTGTCACCCATTATGTGTTATTAACTTCAACAACTAATGTGGTGAAATTCATCAGAAATGAGAGTCACAATAAAGGCTTTCTTACTATCAGTGTTTCAGTATTTAGTTGTATGTCAGCAGTTACTGCTGCCTTTTTGTCAAAGTATCTTCCTGGATGGAAAAGAGATTGTTCTTTTTGCTACCCTAACAAGACATTGCTACAACAATAAACACAAACAGGCTACAATAAGGCATCTTGGCCACCACACATTTAACATTAAATTAAAACAAAACTTACTGCTGTCACTGTTACATTAACAGTAATGCTAGCTCACCTCTGGGACATTTTTCCAACTGCATGCCATAGGATTACGTTTTACAATGTCTTTAAATTTGAGTAGGACTATTAAACAGCACACTGGCCTGGGCTAATGACAAATGAAGTAATCCTAGACCTAGAATATTACATTTTAGATTGAGTGAGGGGGCTCAAAGTGATACTCTTCTACTGTTAAGATAGAGATAAATACAATCAGGTTGTGTTATTGTTTGGACTCTTCTATGTTAACAATACAGGACCAATATGATCCTCTGCACTGAGATTAATGTAAACAACGTTAATATAGAGCTATAGGCAAACCATTCAATCTTTTATCAATGAAACGCTTCTCTTCTAGGTTGTTATCATCTACAATTTGCAGTAAACTAAACCTCAAATAAATAAGTCAAACGCACGTGCAGCAAACTGTCAACAGCTAGCAAATAAAAAGAGCAACGCCTGTCACACCAAAGGTGATCCCCAACAGTCGCGACTATAAACAGACATTGTAAAAGTAATACCACTCAAGAACTGTGTTATAATGATACCCGTGTTGCTCAAAGTTTACTCACCTTAAATTACGCTCTTTTCGCATTCGGTAGCTTACAGATGCGGGTTGGTCTGTTTTCACGCCAGAGTTGTGGCTTTTCTCCCTGTCTGTCTGTCTGTCTTCCTCTCTCTCTCACTCTCTCTCCTCACTCATACACACTCAAACCCATACACACCCATGCACATGCACAAACGCACACACACGAACACACACACAGATGCACGAGGTCACATATTCGTCTCACACACGGAAACCTCTCTGCGCCTCACTCTGTTGTATGAGGGGTGATTAATGCCAACAAAAAGTGCATTAGCAAAGAGAAAAGTGTTTTAGTGCACCGGCAAGACATGCTTGCAAAAACACTCTTCTATAATAAACAATTACAAAAACGTTACTGCACCGTCTCTTCATTAATATATTCACTAGTAACCCTATATAACCCTATACCTTATCTTAGACTGCACTGTAACTTGTATCCATGTATTTTTTCTTTTAATGTTTAATTGATTAGCTTTTCTTTTTAATGACTGATTTTAAATGCCATTTTCTTAATGTCTTTCATTTTTTGTAAAGCACTTTGAATTGCCTTGTGTTGAAAAGTGCTATATAAATAAACTTGCCTTGCCTTGCCTTGCCTATAGTCCCAGGCTTTCTACTCAAATGGCATAACCTACATTTTACTGTGTGCTATGTAAGAAACACTAAATAAACATTGAGAAACAACATGATACATAAAATAGGTAAAGCAATAAGCACAACCAATACCAAACCAGATACACTATATTAGGCTAAAAAGTATATGTGACATGAACTCGTGGAGGATGATCCAGCCTGTCCCTCCTACACTTATAGTTTTGGTTTAATTCTGACACATGATCCTCCAATGTCAAAAGACTATAGGCCTACTATCTTCTCAAAAGGAAATTCTTACTTAAGAATGTGATGGCATTATTAATAACTAAAAGACATGAACTCAATTGCAATACTAAAAGAATAAATGCAGTGGGACAGTACTTACAGTACGCTTCTAGATTTTACTCATTGGTGTATCGTGACCTTTTCTAGGACAGCACATACTCTTGACTTTTGGATCAGCCAGAAAGTTTCATGAGATCTCGAAAACCTTTTCTGCTCTATTTTCACAATGAGACAAATCCTCATTCATTTTAGGGGTTGATGTTGGAATTTGTAGTGGGTTTAAATTAACATTTGGTTTGTCAATTTGTCTTGAGAAAACCTAAACATTCATAGATCTTTCCTACCACGGCTTCATTCACGTCTTTATTCAACCCACTCTCTTCAGTCTGCGTACAAATGACTCGACATTACACATTGGAAATGCGTGCAATAGATACACAGAAGTCCGATTTTGTGTGCATATGATACGCTAACCATTCCCATTGAGATCTCAGGCCGAGTTTTACGTGCATATAATACTCCGCGTTTTGTGCCTGCACCACTTATTTTTGTCCGGTCGGGTCTTGGTAGACCGGAAGCTGTGTGGTTCATAAAAACATGTTCTTACTCAATACCAAGCCACAATTATTGTTTTTATTTTAAATCGTATAATGTCGGACTTTGTTTTGCCATCTGTAAGGAAAATAAATAGGGCTCAGAGCCTCAGAATAATGAAATCTGTATTTTTTATATTCTATATTTCTATCATTGACCTTCTACTTTCCCCCTATGAAAGTATGTACTCTTAATATTGTTTTCATCAAATAACATTATTCATCAAAAATAATTCAATAACGTGCCTTAACCACTAGGCGGTGCACACAAGGTACACACAGCATACTAATAACTTTGTAGTGTAGGACACTTGTGTATAACATCTGAAGATGTGTAGTTTTATTCATGTTTTTACATAATTTTACAGGATATTGCTATACTATTTCTCATGTAAGGTATATCCGTAATTAAGCTATTGAAATTGTGATTCCATAGATGTGTCTCCCATCACCCAAATCCCCTGACTATTCTCTCAACTCACTATTTACATTCTTATATTCAAAGAAAATCAGTAATATCATATAAGTCCTTTTCTATCAGCTGTGCACCGTTATGGTGTAAATATAACCTATCTACCAATTGGATCAAATATAAAAGTCAGCCGAATTACTATTGATACTGCAAGGAGACGTATTTCGTGAAAAGAAATGTAAGATGTTGTTTAATTGTTGATATATTTATGATCCACGTCACATATTAAGTTTTGGCGGCAGTTCTTCAAGTTTGTCCAGAAGTCTTCTCATCAGGGCTCTATAAATAAAGAACTACGGCAGATGTGTAATATTTAATGCAGCCGAACCGTGTATTACAATGCCGTTATGTGATGACTTTCAAAGAGAAAAGCAAGAACACTCGGAATAAAGTATTTTATTTTTTAAAAATGTTTTCGGATATCATATCTTATTAACACCATATCCCAGCGTGCATTGCAGCTAAACCATCCAATCAACGAGCTTCAAGCTAAGGATCTTGGGTAATCAGTTCAGTGGGTTTGTGGTGTGTATCGCTCGAAATGTCCCGTCTGTTTCGGGTGACTTTAGTTACGGCTAAAAAGCATGCTAAAAAGCCCAAGATTATAGAGTTAAACGAATAAATAAAAACAAGGATAATTGTGTGTTATTGTTAAGTAAATGACAGTGTGTTATTTAGAAAACAATAACAAATTAGAAGGAAAAAAAGATTAAAAAAAATACAGATTTCATTATTCTGAGGCTCTGAGCAACATTTATTTTCCTCACAGACGGCAAAAAAAAAGTCAGACATTATACGATTTAAAATAAAAACAATAATCGTGGCTTGATATTGAGTAAGAACCGGTAAGAACATGTTTTTATGAACCACACAGCTTCCGGTCAAAACGTGGCGTATCATATGCACGCAAAATCGGACTTCTGCGTATCTATTGCACGCATTTTCAATGTGTAAAGTCGTGTCATTTGTACGCAGACTGAAGAGAGTGGGTTGCATTATTCCACCCCAGTGAGGACGTGACCGTGTCTCCTTTGACCTTTTCTCAGCATGGTGGAGACATGCGTTAAAATCTACATTTCACACTGCTTATGTCACACTCCTCTGTACTGCCATGTGGTTCCTCAAGCAATAATACAGGAAGTTTAGTGTGGTAAGATAGTATTACACTGACTCAGAAGAAAGCAAACATGAAGAAACACATGATTTGCCTCTAAAGGTTTTAAAAGCATCGTTTATCAAACAACTCAGATAGTTCCAACTGTAGTTTGTGAGATTGAATAACTGTTTACTATGCTCCATTACTGCTGTACACGGTAGCCTACTCACTTGATCTCATTCAGAAAAAAAACAAGCTTTCTTTAATGATAATCAGGTGAAATTAATAAAGATGAGTTTTGCTACCATTTGTTCTGGTGTTAGAAAACCAAAAATAATAGACCATGGCAACAACATGTCTATTTGTCTAACCCCCTCCACATCCATTCCCTGCACCATTTGCTAAAAAGCAAAAACCCAGTTCCCTAAACAGTAAATTAATTTATGTTTGCAGATAATACATATCTTACCTCTAAAAACAGAATAAAATACTGTTTACTACAATAAGAATATGTTTGACCCTATTTTCCTGCAGGCCATGACAGAAAGAGCTTTTCACTTTTATAAATGCATCAAGCAGAAATGTATGCAGTTATTATACCATTGAAAATAAATATTTATATTATAATATGAGTAAAATACAAAAAAATATGAATATGACAAATTATACAATATGGCACTCAATACTATGCAATAATCAAAACATATCAGTGTATTAAAATAAGGAGAAATACATAGATATACATAATGCAGGCTTTATATGTTGTTATATTGTAATGAATCTACATGTCATCTATGAGCCATTTAGGTAATGAATTGTTTTGAAACTGGTAACATTTAACAAGTAACACATGAGAACATAAAATACATTAAATTATTTAAGAAAACAAGAGGTTTTACCATAACATCAGACATCCAGCTCACCTGTATTAAAACAAGTGATACAAGAATTGTCGGAGTGTATTTTGTTTTAATAGCTGCTGATCAGATTGTTACATTTGATTCCAGCGACACAAACATTCAAACAAACAATAATAAACTCATGAAATAATTGTCCAATAACCTGCTCTTACTCTGTTCCCGTAGAATAGATATTAATATATGGTATATTTTCACGCATTTCTGGTACTGTATAATTTCAAGTGTTGTGTGAATCAAAAGGTTACTACCCAAGCGTCTTTGTACACTGATTTACAATATTCAATATGATGTTATTAAAAGGTTCTTACTTCTGAGATACGAATAAAAAAAAGAATAAAGAAAAAGAGACCAGGATCAAAACATTATTTGTATTATTAAATGTATGACTTTCAGGATTTCTGGTGGTTGAAAACAGACATTGCACTAATAGCAGAAAAAATGCTCTACTTTTTAATGCGTGAGAACAAAAATCCAGATAAAAATATCTATTTTTGATGTAAGATGATAAAAACAAGGATTCTTTACTGCCAGCTTTGCTGCTTATAGTAGAAAATGGATAGGAAAGTCTGGTAGTTTTTGACTTATAATGGTTCTGTGTCCCATAGAAGGGTAAGTTCACTTTTGCAAACATGGTAGTGTTTTCCTTATTCTGGCTGCTATGTTACTATGTAAGTAGTGCTTGTCTTTTACTGTCCCATGAACTTGTAAGAGGCCTTCCCACCCCATTAAGCAAGGGGGAATGTATAGCTAGAAATTGTGTGAGGAAAGTCCAACATCACTGAACAATCATATCTTCAGTGTGTAAGCATGTTTCTTGCAAAGAGGTTTGTCCTTCTTGGAGAAAAAGGTCTGGCCTTCCAGAGTAGTGCAGCACACCTGAGGAAAAAGAATACACACACGTGAGTAAGAACTTTAAAACTCTTCCATGATGATGAAAAATAAACAATACCATTACTTTATAATATGTATCAAGTTCAACATGATTTATTGAAAGACAAGTGGTTTAAAAAAAAGTTAAGCGATTGTCAAAAGTCTAGGTTGGTAAGTGGCGTGGTGGTCATCGTTGTACATTGAATCAATAATGACCCAGGATAACGCCTCTGCTGTTCTATGCAAAGTTTGCAAATGTTGTGTCTCTTTTATATTCAAGCTCAGTCTTGCCCTCATCGTTCAAAGTTGGGCAGGTCATATGGATAGGAGTGTCTTAATTAACTGTACAGTGAATATACTGTGAGGCTTTCACTTACAGCGCAGACGAAGCAGTTATCATGCCAGGTGTAACCAAGGGCCTCTAGGAACTTGTCTCCAGCCTCAACGGGGAACTCACAGCCATGGCAGCTGGTACCGAACATACTGTAAAAATCTTTTTTCAGACAAAACAACATAGCATGTTATTTACAGAAAAGAGCATCAATGCTTTTCTTTGGTTATTATTTTCACTAAAATAAATTCTAATCATAACAGAGAGTCACTTGTGTCCATTTACAGACTTCTGTCTTCTATCCTGACATCCTTCATCAGCATGTGTCCAGTCAACATATTATTATAAGAGTCCTCATCACTTACCTTGTTCACAGTATGGCTCTCCTTCCTCCAGGTGGAAGGTGTTGTTTCTGATTGGCTGCTGACAGGTAGCGCACAGAAAGCAGTGGACATGCCACGTCTGTTTGAGGGCATTTATCACCTCCTGGATGCAAAAATAAAACACTGTTGTTAGTTGGAAGCATAACACAGTTCATTATGATCACTGGTCTCTGTTTTTGTTCATCTAAGACTCTAAGTAATATTACAATTAGATCAAGGATGCTTAAACGTTTTATTGGATGTTACCTTGCTAATTGGGGAATTGTTTGTTAAACAGCTGTTTATGTAATGTGTGAACAAAAATCATTCCAATTCTATTATCAATCCAAATTGGATCAAAATGGATAAAAGCGTCTGTTTTACATTTGCCAGGAATGCACACCGACTTTCCTAAAGTCTGTTCTTTTCTCACGTCACATTTAAATATAATATTTTTTCTTGTGTGGCCACATGACCCGGCTTAAAATAGACAAACTGCTTCTTTTCCCACCCTTAAACTGAGAACACGACAGGACAGGGAATCAATGAAAAGTTGGTGGGCCAGAGTGAAATAAAGGATTAGAGGAGAGGGAGTGAGAAAACAGGTTAATAAGAAGCCGTAAGCTGGTTGAAGATGTGTGAGAAATAGAGGGTTGAAAGGGATTGAGGGTAAAGAGGTTAGAACACGTGAGGGATGAATGTCAGTGCTGTTATGAAAGCAGCCATCTCAGCTTCCTGACGCTCTGGGTTCATGCTACACCTGCAGCCTCAAGGCCTCTAAGCCTAATTCTCCTAACACCCGAACATACACCACATTCCTGAGTTTCAGTGGTGGTCACTATAGAAAATTCCCTAGCCTTCCTATATGGGCCTTTTATGAATTTGTCTTGCATTTTCAGGTATTTTATTGTTACCATAAAAGGGACACTTTGATGATGTTTACACCTTAACATTTAATATCCCTTTATTATTTTGTCTCATATTGGCTTTTGATAAACAAAGCAAGAAGTAATTATAATCCTACATTGTAACCAAAAGTAGTTATGCACCCAATTTATCATTTCAAACCCTTCAACATACAATGTTGAGGACACTGAAACATTTTAATCAAGTTGATGTACCAGTCTATACAAACCATTAAAGAAATAAGGTCAGATATGTGTGACGGGTTTGCACTGAATTCCACAGAGGAGGAGTATTCCTTTTTGTCTCCAAAAAACAGAGGCCTACGAATCCAGTTCAACATACCCTGGATATGTTTGAGTTACCCAGCTTACCTAACCCAAAACAAACGCGCTCTCGCTAAGTGGTCCTACTGTATGACGCTGGTTATCAACTCGGTAACTCAAGCCCGGTGTGCCCTATCTAGTTATGTGCACGTTAACATGAAAGGGGCGGGGTTAGCAATATTTGACCAATCACAAACATTGACAAGTGTACTGACAGCGCAGTGTCATACTTCCTGAATGAAAAGTGAACTATAATATTAGACAAATATGAAGAAGTTAAACTTTAAGCATCCATGACTTAAACACTTTATCCGGGATAAAAGCCACATAGTTGTACCTGCACGGTGAATACAGCTGGTAAAAAAAAAATTATTTGACTTTTTTTTTTATGCGTACATTAACAGGTTTATGATATCACTGCCCCTACGACACGAGTGGATCTGTCATTAATTACATTTGACTTGAGTGTTTCGTCAACTTAATGTGTTGCTTAATGTGTTGCTTAAAATAACACACACACACACACACACACACACACACACACACACACACACACACACACACACACACACACACACACACACACACACACAAACTCACCCCAAGTATCTTGTCCTGGCAGCGGCTGCATGTTGGAGCGAGGAAGTCTTCATAGCAATGTTCACAGTAGACAGTGCCCTGTTCTTCCACAAAGCCTATATCTGCCAGGGATTTACGGCAGTGGGTACAGTTAAATTCCTCCTTATGCCATGACTTTCCCAATGCTACCAAAAATGGCCCTCTGGGTGAAAAAAGGACAAGCAAAGACAAATGGATAAGTTTAAAATCAACTTTTTATTTTTTATTTAACTGAAGTTACAAGAAGAACAGTCCAAAGTCTATGTTTTTCAAATTAAAGACATTGAAAGCAGTCCATGTTGGGCTTTCTCAAATTAAGGACATACACAATGAATAGATTATCAAAATTGCTCGATCAACTAATCATATTCTACTCAGGTCAATAAAGGCTGCTTCAAAAACAAGTATCAGATTCTAGAAATCCGATGTGTTGATGTCACTGAAGCTTTACTGTGACAATCATCCTCTGCGTCCACTGTGACAGCACTGTCCACTCTGATGATTAGTTAAAGTAGGAAAACAACACAGACTAATTTACTGCACACAATAGCTGTGCTTATCTGAGCTTTCTCAGATAGTGGCACAAGCCTGGCAGCTATTAGCATGTGAGCTACCCTATCCTTAGTGATATGTAATGTAAGGTGACACAATTTGGGAAATAACGCTTGTGTTAAGGCAGTCATGAGAAGAACAGGATAACCAAGAGTTGGTATCAGATCATATCATGTACATCAATAGTTTCAGTCAGATCTTTGTAGTTCTACAGTTCCATACACATATTATTTACTCGAGATGGTTTCCAGTTAATTATTTTAAGTGCCTAACTGGGACGCTGAATAATTTAGATATGGAAATATGTTCCAATCGTGACTTGATTAAGAACAATTGGATATCTGGGCAGCCAAGTGAAGTAACAGGCCTCTTTTTTAAGGAATGGTGAGCAAGCAGTATTTGGGCTGATGACAGAGCCTGTGATTCTTTATTTGTAATATCTCCACACTGCTATCAAGAAAAATAGGATAGTAGGTTAATTGAGGTAATTTAGATAATCCATTCAGAGATTCTTAATGGGTTCCTAAGTTGTAAATGACATTATTAGTCAAAGTAAAGAATGTGACTCTCACCTGATGACCATATTGCAGTGGGCACACATGGGCGTACGAAAACCAGCAGGGATGTGTTCTGCCATCTGGACCAGGGTGTCCTCATCTTTAGGATGGGGCTGAGGTAAAGGCCGGGTTGGGACAGGACCCCTGGGGACACTGGCACCACCATTACCCTTTATACCAGAAGACGGGGTGATGAAACCAGCCTTTGGGACTCGACCTGAAGAAGATACAAAAGAGATAAAGATAATAGAAACTGGAGGAACAAAAAATTAAATAAAAATACAAGCACTTATAGAAACACAAAGCTCTGTGTTTTCTTCTTAGGTGTGTAAATTATTTGACCTCTAACCTCTTGACTATACACCCAGCAGGTGTCAGGGTGGTGCACGCAGCTGGGTGACTACTGTTGTCAACAACCATGAATTCACCACATCAATCTACAACTTTGACACATGCCTATGGCATATGTGCCTTCATACACATGGCCACGCACAAGCGAACACACACACACACACACACACACACACACACACACACACACACACACACACACACACACACACACACACACACACACACACACACACACACACACACACACACACACACACACACACACACACACACACACACACACACACATACACACACACAGACCTTCCCTCAGCTAAAACCTAAACCAACACCTGGCTAAACATATAGCCTGGCCTTTGATCTTCAGACTGTGGATGAAGGTTTGTTTTTATATGCACATGGGGAGGAATGGACTACTTTTGGAGCTTGGCTTTACCATTACATGCGTGTAATGTTTAAATATGTGTTTGGCATAGGAACAGGGATGGTTTTCCATGAAATGTTGGGGCAGTATTCAGGTATTCTTTTACATTTTGAAATTTTACAATTGCAGTATTTTTTAAACTGACACTCGAGAAGCAAAACCTCAAACCAGATTTGCACATCTCCAAGCATATTTTCAGCCTCTCATTTTAAGATTATCAGCAAACATGTCGAACAGTCGATTTGTACACACCTGCTGCCAGGGAGCAACATTATTATTGATTTGGAGTCGTTTTTAGACCAACTAATGGATGAAAGACCATGTGGTCTGATGAGTGGCTGATACATAAGGGAGATAACTGGCGGAAAAGGAGAGAACTTGTGATTTTAGATTGGATGGAGTAAAAGTTGAAGCAGTTAAATAGGCAGATAGAAACATTTTTGGGGTACATATACAGTATGTTAAACTGAACAATTAATGTTCTCAGAAACTGTGAGCCCCAGTGCAGTAGAGTGGAGTAGATTAGTTGTTCGGCAGCACTGTGGTTTGCCTTTAAAACTTTATTCATAACTCCTATACATAACATAAGTCTTCAGTAAATATTATCTTTCTTACGGAGTAGAAGTGCTGCACGTGTTACTGAACAAAGTGCAACAGGCAGAGCGGGACTTTCTCGCCTGCTTAATGGGCTTCCACAGAGGAAAAAGACGAGAAAAGAAAAAGAAAGTCTGCAATGACCTATTTCACAACATATGTCACGCTTGGTCCATGGAAAAATAAGCCTCTTTCCCTCTCGCTAAATGGCTGCAACAACATTAAATCTAACAGCAGTAAATCAGTTTTACACTATGTCAGGATTTCAAATCAAACATTTTTTGTGAGAACAAAAATAACATTTTCGTTACTGTAAGGGGGCATATATGAATCAATCAAAATACATAATTAAAAAAGGATTTAGTTCAATTCCTAAATTAATTAATTGTTACGAATCTATTTGAGGGACTCTACATTTACAGTAAGGTACCCACTATGACTTGTGCTAAGAAAACATGTGAGGCAGCAGTCTGATTACACTCCACTAGTACATTTTGTGAAAAAGTTCCACGACATGCCTACAGTAAAAGCCACAGACACTTAGGCAAATATACTTTAACTGTATTTAGTAACAGATTCAAGCAGCAATGTACTTTCCTACAGACTTCATGAAGCAGTAGGCTCGATGGACATGAAGGCATTCTTAAATCATTGAAACCCATGTATCATGTATTATTTTATGCTGACAAAGGCGGATATGTTATTTCTAATATCCTATATTAATATTATATATATATTTCACACACACACACACACACACACACACACACACACACACACACACACACACACACACACACACACACACACACACACACACACACACACACACACACACACACACACACACACACACACACCTCTATGGTACCCATGTACATGTCAAAATTCTTCCCAAAGGTCAAGGAATAACATGATCATAACACCAGAGGGAGCTCCACAAATCATGTGAAACCCAGATTTGGCACAAAAAAGGGGGAATACACGTTTCGCAATTATGCCACATCAAAGTGGAACGCTCTTCCCACAACTGTAAAGGAAAGTAAAACTATACTTACCTTCAAAACCTCTCTTAAAGAGCACCTTCGGGGGAGAGCATTGCAAAACTGGCCCCGGTAATGGTACAAATCTCAACCTGTCGTTCAATGGACAGCTTCCCCCCCATCTATGTATATACTCGCATTTTAGACTCTGTTACTAACTGTATATCTGTAGACTTGGTATGTCTTAAATGTCCGGTTAGGATGTATTAGAACGAAATCTAAAATGAAAATTGTAAATAAGCAATCTGTATGTAAAAAACCACCTGTATGTAAATTGTAAATAAGCCATCTGTATGTCAAATATGTCTTATATGTCTTAAATGACATGATGAATTGGAAATGGGGGACCCTGATGTAAACAAGACGAAAGTCTTTCTCTGGTCTGCATCCCCTTAACAATTGTATGTTTTGAGCTGTACTGTACTGTACCCAATATACAAGCTGTTAATAAACTTTTCAATCAATCAATCAAACAAACAAACACACACACGTGTTTACCCTGGATTGCAGGCGGTCCTTTGGTCATGGTTTTGATAACTGCTGACTCATGGCTGCTGAGTTCTGGCTCCTTTCCCTCCTCACTGTAAATGGAATGGAAATTATATTCTGATCAATTAATGGGAAAACGTTGTGTAATTAACATTATAAACAAATTCCCCCTACACAAACTCAGTATTCAGTGCTTGAATTGCAAAATGCATGGTTACTATCCACTCAATCAGAATGGTTGGTATGTACTGTGACTTATGTGCCTTAGTCCTTTTTTTTCCAAAATGTAATTCCCAACAAAATATCACAGAGAGCCTACTGTACGAATAGCCATTAATCTTGTCAGGTAGACAGGAAAAATACATCAGCACAGTCTCGTTATTCAAGTTTCTGTCAAAATACAGTAAGACGGATTCCAGACCACCTACCTGCTGACAGAGCGGAGAAAAATATTGTACCAAACAAAACACTGCATGCAGCTTCAGCCAACACAGTATAGTACTCAACTTCACAGAGCAATTCCTACATGTGAGTACACACTCACAACAATGTGCCATGTGCCACTTCACAGCAGAACAGAGTCCAGGCCACCGGCCTGATGATGGATGGGAAACGAGTTTGCACAGCACTAATGATACAGCAAACTCATTCAAAAATGATGCCAGCATATCAATTCCCATGACCTAACAGAGAGAAACGGACTACGGTGCAGTGAAATATATCATAGTGTAATGAACGAAAGTGCCCATTCCAGATGTGCTGTAGACAGATGCCAGACTCCGAGAACTAATAATGGGGGTGAAGAGAGCTCTTATGGTGCGGTGAAGAGTTCACATTATTCAATGCATAATCTTTTTTTCACGACTATTGTACACAGGTATTGTTTTAACCTCCCTTTATACTTTAAATGTCTCCTAAGAATGCACAAAGTTCAGGCTTATATGCTAAAGTGATGTCACAAATAGGCAAACTGAATAAGTCCCCACAGGAACATGGGCAGTCCATTTTCATGGGCTCCAAGAAATAGACCTGAAATTCACATTTGGGTCAAAGGCTGAGTAATTTTAAGAGACTTTGCAGTAAAATATATTGGTCATCACATGAAACGATGCCAGAACACTAATTTAATAACATAGACAAACTGAGCCTTGCATAGATATATGATAAGTGTTCAGTGAACAATGCTGTGGAACAGGGTGACATTTGATATCCATGCTATTGTTTTAAGTTTTTTTACAGATAGCAATATAATCTTTTGGAGGTCACACAGTTTCTCTCATAGGTCAACATATATATATATATATCCTTTATTTAACCAGGTAAAAGACTCATTGAGATTAAAATCTATTTTCCAAGAGTGACCTGGCCAAGAGGGGCAGCATGTACGAAGTTAGAACAGATAACACACAGACATGACAGGCAGACAAATACAGCTGTAAAACACAAATAAAATGGCACATTAGCCAGTCAATATGCAAAGTAAAACAAAATATTAAAAATCATTCAAAACTGGCAACATTTAAAACGATTTTAGGATATACGAGCACTCACATCTACCAATGGTGTCGTGTTCTCTGTCCTTTAAGATGGACCTGAATTCCCCCATAGTGATTAAATCTGAGAGTTTCAGCTCCTTCTGTACACTGTTCCAAGCTGTGGGGGCAGCATATTTAAAAGCTGTTTTACCCAGTTTTGTTCTCACTGTAGGAACCAGCATCTGAATAAAATCTTGGGAGCGCAGGCCATATAGACTTTCTCTTCGACACATATATGTGCAAATGTAGGAGGGAACTAACCCAAGCAGAGATTTATAAATAAAACCCAACCAATGGGAAAGTCTGCGAGCAGACAAAGATGGCCAATTAGCAGCAGCATATAAAGTGCAATGGTGTACTCGATATCCACATCCAGTAATAAATCATAAGGCACAACGGTACACAGTATCCAAGCTCTTTAGGCACTGGTCAGAGGCATTCATGTATAGCAGATCACCATAATCTAATACAGGTAAAAACGTTGCAGATATCAAATGTGTTTAAAAGAAACCTAATTTTATTTTTAGCTTTGAAACAACATTTTACGTGTGTAACTTGAAAGACAAGTTCTGTTCAATAAGAAATCCCAGATATTTGTAAGTAGTGACCCTCTCAATGTCAGTCCCTTGTGCAGTACAAATCTTGGGTAGAATAGATGGTAACTTTTAGCCATTCGAAAATATCATCACTTTGGAATTTTCAGCATTTAATACCAACTTTAGTTGATATAAATGGGTTGTATGACATCAAAGGCAGACTGGAGGAAATCTAGACTTTGCTCTATAGAAGCGGAGGAACAATAAATAACAGTATCATCTGCATACAAATGGTAAGAAGCATTTGCTAAATTATTACATAGATTATTTACATATATGGTAAAAAGAATTGGTCCTAATATGGAACCTTGTGGCACACCTTTTGCTATCGGGAGGAAGGAAGAAGAGGACCCAAAGTTGGACGCATTGGGTTCTCGCTGATAAATAATTTAAAAACCAACCTACAGTATGCCTAGATAAGCCGATACTGTGAAGTCTTTCCGCCAGGATGATATGATCAACTGTCAAACGCCTTTGACAAATCAATAAATAGAGCTGCACAATACTTTTTACAATGCAGGCTGGTAATTCATTTTTAGTTTCTGTTCCAAATTAGTTTTTTATTACCTTCCAAATTTTCTTTGGATCATTTAAGTTACTAGTAGTATTAGAAATGTAGTACTCAGATTTAGCCTTTTTAACTAGGAAGGTGAAATGATTTCGGAGCTGTCTAAAAACAATCCAATCCACTTGAGATTTCGATTTTCTGGCCCTTGACCAGGCAATATCCCTTTCTTTTAGAATGCTGGCCAGTTGAGGACTAAACCAGGGATTTTTTAACCCTTTCACCCTAAATTTGCGGAAAGGAGCATGTTTGTTTATAATTCTAGTAAAAGCCTCGTGAAAATAATCCCATGCCAGTTCAACATCACTAATGAGAGAGATCTTGTTCCAATCAAAATCCCACAGGTCATGAAAAAATGCTTGCTCGCAGAATTGTTTAAAGTCACGTTTAAAAACTATTTGTGGTCTTGTTTTTGGAAGCTTAGCTTGCCTGATTGTAGATATAGCGCAATGGTCACTCATATCATTTGCAAAAATACCAATATCCAAAAACTTATGAGGCGCATATGTTAAAAATAAGTCGATAAGAGACGATTTATCTTGGTGTTTAAGATTAGGACGAGTTGGGCTATTGATAAATTGCGTAAGATTAAAAGAGTCAGAGGTTGATTTAAAACTATCGGAGACAGAGGACAACCAGTCCCAGTTAAAGTCTCCAGCAATTCAAATCTCATTAAAATCCAAGCAAGATAACTGATGACTCAGTGATGATAAAGCCTCAATGCTTGCTGAAACATATTATTTTGCAGTTCATAACATGTCTCTGAGTAAGTCTTCCTTAATGGTGGAAACGTTATTTACTTGTTAAAGTTTTTAGGACTTATTAGGAAATATGCTCTCTGATCTCCTGAATGCACCTAATTGTTTTTCAAGAAGAACATGTTTGATAGACTTGTATTTTTTTAGAATGATTGTATGGTATAAGTAAAAACTGAGCAATACAAATGTGACTTCGCACACATTCTTTAACATAAAATCCATTATTAATCAAATACATAACAGAATAAATAAAATAGCATTTGAAATAAGACTGACTATTATTTGCATTTAGGGATTAAATTAAACCAAGACAGGCTTTGAAAGTATTTTTCTGGTATTGCAGAGAGATGGCAGAGCATGCCAGATATCGTTGTTGAACGTAGGAACATTTCTTTAGCTCTTCAAATTATGCAGAGTCAATATCCCTCACTATGTGTTTTCAAGTATTTGACAGCACCAGTTGAGAAGCTTGGGTGGGCCAGTAACATCTCCCCATATTATACCCAAAATGCATAGCTGTAGCCAATGTGAACAGTTGGAAAACTGCTGTCTTCTTCTTGTTCCTAGTTGTTAAGGGCCTCGTGGAAGACAAGTGTTATGGCAACTACAATCATAGTTAGGTTGAGTTTTGTCTGTATGTTAGATTTCAGTGAGAAAGAGACGAAAAGAGAAAGAGTGATCGGACTATGAGAGGTGACTTCACAGACAGAGAGACATAGATTAAGATAAAGGGAGAATAGCACACTTGTGTTTGTGATCACATCAGTAGGTCCTCTGTTTTTCACTTGAAATGTACCTAAATATGTAGACAGCGTTAACAGGAGAAGAAAAGAGAGGGTCTCCCTCTTCTGTGGCAGATTGATGCCAAGACACCCTTTCGTGTGACAAGCCACAAAAAAAAGACAGAAAAAGAGAATAAGAAAGAAATACATAAACGCAAAGTGACAGAGATAGTTGGTTATGGCTGTTAGAATTGCATTTTTTCCCTTAGTTGTTATAAAATAGCACTTACAAAATGTGTATCTCAAATGAATAGACACATATTGTATTTACTTGCAGTATTTTATCTGTGTTATTGGGTTGCACTGTTGGAGGAGCCTGGGATTTAAGATTTTCATCGACATAACTACACTGTAGCTATGTACGAATGACAATAAATGCCTTGAACCTTGAACATGGTTAGGAAAGCCATGTGATGAAAACAGACTGTGAAACAATAGGCACACAAGCTTCAGTGTGGTGACAAGAATTGTGATGAATACACCCAGCAGACTGTTGTGTTAGCATTGATTCCAGCTAATCAGCCTTTAGAAGATACAGTCCTGATCTAAGTACTGTCTATAGGAAAGAGACTGTCACATTGAAGAACATCTCTCTTCATTCCCATTATCTTCTTATCATGTTGTACACCATGTGCCTGGCAGAGGAGACAGTGGATACACTCCACACTAACCTTGTATATCTTAAGCAAGATAGAGGGTACAGACGGTGCGCAAACAGTGTTCAGTCTCATTTCAATTTGATCCCATTTAGATTGAACAATTTACGGAAACATTTAGCATAGACCAAAATAACCTCCTATACCTAACTGTATTTTATTAATTGTACTTTCATTTACCCCTTTTCTTGATTATTCAT